AATTGACAAACATTTTACTTATCCATATAGTCCTATTTGTTTATAATATGGCGACGGTTAATGGCTAATTATGACTCCGAGCATATCTTTGTTTGCATTAATCATGGTTTTTTTTAACTTGATGATAAAAGGGAGTTTATGGTCTTTGCTAATCAAATGCATGACCACCATACTTGAACGTGGATGCATTAGCCATTCTTGACGGACATGTCATCGGCCCGGGAAATAAATCGTCAATCTGAATACTGTTTCTGTAAATTGGATATGGAAAGTATGCTATAACTTGTAAGTCAGAGATGAATTGCATATAATTCGTGCAATAAATGTTGGCTATTTTTGAATATAATTACTAGTCCAAAAGTGAAATTTTTCAGTTTAAAAATCAGGATGACATCGAGTTACTTCAGATATGATTAAATTTGTTTTTTACTGAGGACTTTTTTATACATATATGTGGTATGATTCAAAAGTTTGGGGACTGCAGTAATCTTTGACAACAAAAGCATGTATTTGAAGTTACAGTGTATGAAATGGATTCTACCAAACCACTCCTAACGTGTTCAGGTTGGTTTCGCCCATGTCGCGTGATGAAAACAGCAGCGATCATGGTTTATTCTGGAGATAATTACCTTTGTTCTGCGATGTAATAAAAATGGAGTTTCAAGAACAGCAGTGCAACATTAAATTTTGTCAGTGTTTAGGTAAAAAGCTAAGGAGACTTTAAAATTGCTAAGAAAAGTGTTCAGTGATTCTATCACGGCGAAATCGAAGGTGTATGAATGGCATCGCCATTTTAAAGAGGGCCGAGAATCCATCGCAGATGAATGCTCTGGTCGACCTTCAACTTCACAGAACGAGGAAAATGTTGAGTTGGTCTCTCAATATGTTTGCAAAGATCGTCACCAAACCCTCGAAAAAAAAAATCACTGCAGCTACTCACTTATCAAAGATTAATTGCCAGCATATTTTAATGAAAGATTTTAATATGCATAGTGTGTCTTGGCACATTGTCCCTCAACTTTTGACTTCTGAACAAAAGGAAGAACAAATGAGAATATCGGGTGATTTAATCAACAAAGTTAATTAAGGATCCAGCTTTTTTGAACCACATCATAACAGGTGATGAAACGTGGTGTTATTTATTTGATATCCAATCAAAATATTCTTCTTCAACATGGAAATCACCCTCCTCACTGTGATCGTAGAAATTCTGGCAGGATCAGAGTAAAGGGAAAATCACAATGGAGGTATTTTTTGATTCAAGGAATTTTTCATTCAGAATTTATTCTTGAAAGCAGAACAGTAAACAAGGAGCATTATCTAGACATTTTGCATCATTTGAGGGAATCCATTCATCATAAATGGCCACAGATCTGGCGAAGTTGAGACTGGTACCATCTGCATGACAACACTTGCACATAGGTTCCAAATGGTCACAGTTTCTCGGAAAAACTCAAATTAATGTGCTTCCACACCCTGCCTATTCACCGGACTTAGTCCTGTGTGATTTTTGTTTGTTTCCATCAATGAAAAAGCATTTGCAGGGATGCTGTTGTCTGTCATCAGATGAGGTGAGAGCAGCATCACAGGAGGTCTTACGGAAGGTTTCAAAAAATGGCTTCCAGCAATGCTTCCAGAAGTTATAAGAGCACTGGCAAAAGTGTATTGTCGCCCAAGGTGATTACTTTGAAGGTGGTTGTGCATCGGCAATATAAACTTTGCAAGGTAAGGAATTTTACGCCAAGTCCCCCAAACTTTTGGATCGTACCATGTATATAGCATAATCAATCACATTATCTATTATTGTAGAAGCTAAAATTGAGATTACATATCTAGTTTTTGTAATCTTTAAATAAATCAGTCATCTGTTAATATTCTAATAATTGGCATTAATTTATAGCTATATCAGACATTTCTCTGATAAACTAAACTAATTTGTTTTACACATTTGTGCTTAGAGAATTTTCATTTGATGATGATTATTTATTACAAAATAGTAAAACACTTGCATTGAACCATGACCATTATTAGTTTCCTGACTTGATTTACATATTGATAAACATGCATGCAATTATAACTCAGTTTTCATCTTACATTTTATAAAAACAACGTGGAAGTCATCTTTGATGCAATTATCATTTCTATAGTTGAGAATTAATTTTCTTTAGCAATGTATTAAATCTGATTCCATCACTGAAATAAATCCAAATTAATCTGCTTGACTAATAATAGAACTTCCACTCTTAAATGCATATAAATTAAATGAAAATTTTGAATTTTTACATTAATGATGGTGCTTTGCCTATTTTACTGAAGTTATTGGTTGATCAAAACAAAAATGTCTGCTTTATTACCATAGTAATTTCTTAAAACTGAGAAAATAGCTAAGTTATGCTCACATAGAATACAAAGCATACGATTAATAACCAAAACACTTTCTGGTAAAGGGACAAGCAATTTCATGGGTGGTTGTTTATGAAAATGGAATGGTTATATATTTGTCAACATGTTAAAGAAATTAATTTCTTCTGATGTTTATTGACTGAACAAAGTTCATCTTATGAAAATTTGTTATAAGGGAATCAAGCTGCAATAAGGAGAGGTCAACAAATATCGTGTAACAGATTCTGTAAGTTACTTTAATTTCTTAATTTTGTTTTTAAAATTACAAAATGTTCATAAGATATGATGCTTGGAATTTATTATTAATTTAACAGTAACATTTAATAAAATGAGGACATCAAAGTTTGTTTTTAATTATTTTCTGTAAAACAATTATTTGACAGAATCTGTTCCAAACTTACTTTGTCATTAGCAATGCTATTATTGATTTATTACACATGCAAATATAGAATGTCCCACTTAAAATCTGAACCTGACCAAAATGAGGAAATATTAATGATTTAACTATCCCCCATAGCATTTACAAGAAAAAGTGTACAGACTAATTCTGAACTATACACAAACCAAAAGGAAAGCATCAAAGCTATCGACATCAGTATTTTACACAAGGTCTATCCAATCATGATATGTATGTACTGTACATAAAGAATAAAGTTTGTGTTTAAATTTCAAAATGTTAAAAATGAAGTTTCTAATGAATGTCCTTTGCTTAAATTTACTTATTGTTTTTGATGAGTGGGGCAGATTTTATTCAGACATGAAGCATCCAGTATAAATCAGAAATTAATATTTTGATGTTTTTAGGTACAGTACTTTAATCTATTATAATGGTGGAGGAAATGTTTGTTAAATGACATTTATTTATCAAATACAATAGGAAATTTTAAAATACACAAGGTATTTGATGTGAAAATTAAATATTTGATAGACTATAAAAGTAACAAAGTGAGTTATTTCCAACTTCCAACACTGAACTTGACAATATGGTCATATCTTGCTAACATGACAAGTTTGGTTCAAGACTATTGCCATAAAGTAAATTACAGCCTTTTAACATATACTGGAAAGTGAAAAAAGCTTTAAAATATATGCACTACCATTAAGTGTACAGTAGCACTAGATCTAAAAAACTATGATAAAATAAATAAAAGCCCCTGAAAACTTTCCTTAAGAGCAACACAAATAAAGAATAACATGAATATAAACAGTGTTAATATGGGTCAATAATATTAGCTAAGCATTTAAAGTGAAGTACACCTGTATCAATTTTTCAAATATTAGAACACTTCAAACAACAAAAATGCTGGGGACAATGATTCTGGATGACTGAAATTTTATAATTTTAATGATTTGTAAAGTGACATTTATTTATGATTAAAGACAGCAATTCAACCTTTATGATAAACAGAAAGACAATGAAGAGAGAAATTAAAGACAAATAAGAAATTTTAATATATAGTTATAAATATAAAAATGTTATATGTATAGAATTTTGTGCATTTGTGTATGTATTTGGCTAAGAAACATATTCAATTCTTAAATTCAGCATCCATCTTTGATTAAAGTAAGGAAAATTTCTAACCTAAATTATTCTTTGGTTAAAAACTATTACCAAAATGATTATATATTGAAATTGTTTTGGTAATAGTTTTTTTTAATTTAGACAAAAAAATTTAAACAGTAAAATTAAATTAAAATTGCAGTAGAGAGGATATTCATGAAAGTTCGGGATACAATTTGAGTACTGTACACTGCATGCAAATTTTGATCTAGCACTTGTTATAAATTGACAGCTTTTATATTGGTTCCAATAGCTGTGTCCTTGGGAACTATAGGAGAAAATTTATTATCTCCAGAACCTTGATAGAGCAAACATTCCAATTACAAAGTTTTTCCTCATCCTCCAAATAATGAAAAAAACCACCTTTATGTTAGTGTGGAAAATGGGAAAACATTTTCCACACTAACATTTTTCTGCTCCTCACTCTCTTCTGGCTCACACAAGTTTAAAATTGTTAAAAAAAATGTCAAGTAATTGACCACCAGATGAAACAAAACAGGCACATCAGACTTAAATACTAGACTATGTGAATAGCCATGAGGTAAGAAGAATAAAATTTAATACTTATTAGGCTTTTTCATTTTTTTCTTTAGCACTCATGTATACTAGTTTGCACAATATTGTGTCACTAGCAATCTTGGACTATTGTATTTTTATGGTAGCCTATCTACCTATGCTAAGTTCACACAAGCGAATGATAGGGATAACTCATTTATAATTTTGAGAAAAAGACATGAAAAGTACAGTTTCTCATGTCAATGCATTAAAAAATTCCAGGTTTTAGCAAATAAATGCAACCTTTGAATGAAATGCAAGAAATAAACTTTAAATGGAATGCAACTTAGTTATTTTTTATCAGAATATACAGGGTCATTCTGAAATAAGCACATATACTTTGTTTTGCAACCATAATCTTTTATGCAAATATAATATTGCTAACCCTATTTTGTACATTCTTTATTTGTTTTCTATATGATTTTTCCATTTTAATAAAAAAAATTTTAATTTTATTTAAATTAAATGAAATACAATAAAATATTGATATACATATTTATTAAATCATTATAAATCTGACTTAAAAAAGAATCAACATTTGTACAAAATAAGTTATATTTAATGATATAAAAAAAATGTTCAGTTGCGAAATTCACAAAATGTAATTTCTCACTCTTTGTAACATATTGATTGGCACCAGATACAGAAAAATTTTAAATCTACTCTTTTGAATAACTCAAATACGTTAAATTACAATTATACATTTTGGCACGTAAATCTAATCTCGACTCGCAAATATTTTACATCCGACTAAAACATCCAAGAAATGACAATTTGCCGAAGAAAGTTAAGTATGACTTTTTACCCGTGACTAGTATGATGAATTTTAAAGTACAATAAATTTACATAAATAAGAATTTACATTAAAACTAGAGAGGAATGTTATGAATAAATTGGAGGAAAAATAATAATTCATTCAAAAAAATAAAAATTGCATATTTGAATATTTAAAAACATATATACATATGATTTTAGCTAAATTTGACTAAATTCATTTTTGTAAGATAATGCCTGGCATCATCACAGCATTAAAATTTTGTTAAAATTTAATTTTTTGGATGTGCAGTTTATAAAAAGTAAGTACAAAAAAAAATTGCCTACCAAATCTGAAATATAATTGTTCCTTTAGTACTGAAATAAAATTATTAGAGTTCAGAAAACAAAATATGATAATTATTAGTTTGTTAATAACTTGTTACAGTATAGTATATTAAGTACTTTGAGAGGCTTTTTTTTTGTTAAATTAGTTTTTAAAACAAGATTTTTGTACTTTCTCCTCCTTACTCAAATCTACTGCACTAAAGTGCAAACTACATGTGTCTACACATTCTACAAGTGCAGCAGACAATTTGATTAAATTATTATTTTATATAAAAAATTGAGATTCTATTCTATAGATATGTAATATTTATATAATATACATTTCCTTATTATCACAAATTAATTATATATGCAAAGGTTATCTAGTTACATTTTATACAGTTGCAGAAAGTTTTTTTGTTTGATCATCTTCCATGTGGGTTTTGACTATAGATTATCATTTTGTGTGCATTTGGCACATAACTGGTACAACTTTCTCCCATTTATAGACAGTGATGAACATGCAAACCTGCCTTTTGGTTGTCTGCTTAAGGCCAAAAATTTGAATCACCAAGTAGTGCTCTGTAACTTTGAACTGTTTTTCATGGACTTCTTTTTCATCTTAATAATACATTGGAATTCTATCCTATGGAAAAATTTTTTTTTTGAATTTTTAGATTAATTAACTTAAATTAAAAATCTGAATTGGGAAAGAAAGCTGTAAGTAAGTATTATAGACAGGTATGTTAATATTACCTTTCTACAATTACTATCTTCTAAATCTAAGCTTCTAGAAGGATATTTTCCACATCAAATCTTGAAGAGTTCAAGAAATTGATAAGGTTATATGATAGTTAAGAAAAAATAGAGAGTAATATTTGTTAGCACATTAGTATAAAGTATTAAGAAAAAAAGATTAATGTAATTTAGATATTCTGATTAATATAATAAATATTCTTACTGTTTAACTTTATCTGGAATGCAAATGTGGTCCATTGGAATCAAATTAGATAATTCTTGTAGTGTGCTTACAAACTGAAGCTTACGACTAAATTTTGTGCTAAAATTAAAACAAACTAATGTATCAAAATAATCACTAAACATAATAAATAGGAAGAAAAAATTCTACCTGACAAATGGCCTGGTCATGATAACAATGGTTTTCAGCCAGAATGTTGGGTGTACTAGGTATAAGCCTTTCAAGTTTTTTCGTAATCTAAATATAAAATTATATAAACATTTATAAATTTCTTGAAAACTTTCAAAATTTAAAATTTATGTAGAATAACTAACTTACTAAATATTTTTTACCTCTATTATTAACAAATCCATGGAGTTAAAAAAAATTATACACAGAAATTATAAGATTAATTATGCAGATGGGCAAAACAAAACCCTGATATTGGTATTTAAAAAACAATGAAGAATAAAAACAAAGATTTTTCTGCTACAATTAGATAATAAAAATTATAATAAATGTGAATATATGATATTGTTGATGATTCAACAGTATCATGTATTTACATTTAGCAATATCAGGATAAATATATAATTAAAAATCCACTAGGATAAAAAAAATTTAATGTAATTTTAACATTGAGATTTTATATATTGAAGAGGAGAGAGATCTTCCAAATAAAGATTAATTCCAGCATGTAATTTTCTTATGTTTCTGAAGTGTGTGAAAAGTCAAATTATGAAGGAAAAAGAATATACAGTAGAACCTCGATTATCCGACTCAATTGGGGTTGGTCGGATAATTGAAAAGTCGGATAACCGAAAAGTATGAAAAAAATCCATTATTAGTGTAGTGTATTATTATATCCCATGTAATTAGTATATTGTTATTAATCTACTTCGCATTGAATTTTCATCAATGTTAAGCTTAACAAAAATTTTTTAAAATAATACTCGTCGCTATTGTATCATTAAAAATTAGAAAATTAAGCCTCGTTTAAATACTGGCTTCCTTTCATGGTTGAGCCAGTATTTAAACTATTGTTGTCAGCTAAAACACGTAAAAATAATATTAAAGTAGCCAAGACATAGCCAAATATTGTAACGTCACATCACTAGTGGACATTTGAAATTTGCCGACTAGGACGGTCGGTTAATCGGGGGTCGGATAATCGAGGCTCTACTGTATTTATTTATTTTCCTAGTGAATTTTGAAATGTATTTGCCTGTCTTCTCTTTTTCAGATCATAAAAATTCAATCATTATTCTCAAATAGTGAATTAAAATAAAAATAGTTCACTTAATGGTATAATTTTTTGTTAATGTGTTTTAATGTCAATATCTCTTATGTTTCTTACCCATATAATTTGATCTATCTTAAATTTATTTCAAAGACAATTCTTTGTTATCTATGTTTAATTATATAGTGTTCACTGCTTTAGCTATTATTCATTTCTCAATATTTTGGCATTATAAAATTAGCATCAGGACATTGTATTAGTTTTAAAATTTTTACAGGAAGTTAACAGAAGGAAACAAAGGACTTCTTTCTTCATCCTACAACATTCTCACACCTCTACAACCACCAACAACCAGTCTTACAGTGGAGTTAACTTTTTATTGTAAAGGACATGGAATGAATGAAGATGAAGCCCTGTTTTCTTTTGTGAACTTCTTGTAAATTTTAAATATAATTGTCCTAGCTATTTACTAGTTTTATTAAATGTTAATTATACCAGTATTAGTTGTAATATGATTTGTTCATTCATAGGTTTCAAATGTAAGCCAATCATCATCATAATCTTTAATTTATTATTTAAAGAGAGAGCTTTTATTCTTATTCATTAAAAAATAAAGAAGAAAATTAGCTTGATAAATTAAATGCCTTCATTAAAATAAATTTCAAAAGAAAAAAAAAACAAAATACCAAAGTTTGAGTGCCACTTAGGGAATGAAGTAATCATCAACCCTTCTTGTGCAACAACAAATGCTTTAATATAATAATGACATGTTATCATATAGCCAAGAATGTTACAATTCTGTAAAAGAATCAATTCAACTATGTAAAAAAGAATTGCAAGAAAGGAATCTATTCCAGGGTGAGATGGAAAGAATCAACTCTGTTTACATTTTTTGTTCGCAAAGAAAACTAGAATTAAATATGAATTTAATAAATCTTGCAGTAATAATTAAAAAAAAAACTAATTGAAATAATAAACAGAAATTTTAATAAAATTAAGACCAGCTCTTGATATTGTCATTGAAAAAAATTGTTTTTCTAATAGCCTATTGGTCTTTATAACTATTTTCAACAGTGGATAATGTTTTTCCACAGGTACAGAAGTGGCCATTAAAGTTAAAATTTTTGCATTTCCTCGTGTTATGCAGGGAATTATCAAACCAGAGTGCCAGAGGATTAAAATATGCTGCCATTAAACTGGCCAAGTGTACAGTCAATTCATTACCAGCTACTTTTTATGTCTATCATGAACTAGTTCCTTGTGGTACCATAGCTCCAAAAATTAAAAATGCTATTTCCCTTCAAGCCTACAGTTTCATCTGATTCATTGCATGAAATGTCAATCTATATGATGGTACTTAGGCTTGAGATGTTTTTGCCACAATCTGTTGGAGATTGAAATGTAAGTTTTGTCACGCTTTGATTATAGATTCAAAACGTAATGGCAGAGGCAGAATTTTTCATTGTCAAATTGGTTATTTATATTATTGAAACAAATTTATTCTGCAGACATTTTTGTTGTCACATTAATTTTAAAGATGTCACATTAATTTGTCTTATACAAATTTAAAGATGTCACATTAATTTGTCACATTAATTTGTCTTATACAACAATAAATTGCACCATGCTTCAATAAGTTATTGCACCAGCAATGCATAGTTATAAGTGCTCAAATATCACAATTGCTGACCCTTTTAACCAAAGCATATTTAATGGGGAGGAGAACATCAGGAAAATGAGCTTGCCATGACCATAGTCTTTAAGATAGTAATTGAAAACTGGATGTTATACATTATCTTTTTGAAAACAAAAAGATTTGTTTCCACCTCCATGCTCTTGAAATGAAACAGTCACTGGTTATAACATGCCAGTTAAGTATTATTAGACAGAAAACCTCAGAATGATCAGCTCTCAATTCAACACATACATCTGATTGCATTTTAAACTGCAAGCCCTGAGAAACTTTCCTTTCAACCTTGATGTCTAATCCATTGTCATTCATCATTCTGTCCAAGACAGAATTGAAACTTATCAGTGAACACCACAATCCTCCATGTTCATTTCAATTTGTTTAGATAAAAATTATGAATATATTTAATTTGACTTTAGACAATTTTCCAGGAAAATGAATTTCTGTAATGTATTCATAAAAAGTTCAAAAAGTTATTTTACAATAAATGTAAAAATAAATTTTAAAAATTTTTTGCTTAAAGTTTATTCCTCTTAAACAAAACACACAACTTACAGTACTTGTTAGTTTTATTTAGTTTTACTCAAGATTGCAAAATCCAGCTTCTAGTGCATGTATACAGTAGATGCTGGATTTAGTGGACACTCAAGACCAGAGTCTGTCCATTTAGGACCAATAGCTATTAAAAAATTGTTACATATTTTACAATAGACAGTCAAATAATAAATGGTTTGTAAAATAATGTGTGATAAGAACAGAATTTAGAGAGATCCAAAGTTCCTGAAATTATATGACTTTTTTACTTGATAACATAATTTGACAACAGAAGCTTTAAACCTCTAGTGTCAAATTACATTAAGTATCCAAATTCTAGTACCATTTTGTACTAAATTTAATAATTAGAAATTAATGAATTGATTAGAGAAATCTAGAAGCAAAGATATGGTCTGGAGGAGGAGTAAAAAAATTGCAACTATTGCAAGCTAAGCAGCAACATTATTGATTATGATATTTAATCTTCTCAACCACACTTTTGCAAAATCTTTCAAACACAACACATTTGATTCATTCTGCTTCTATTAGTCTTTTCTTCAAATTTGTCAGTTTCTTAATGTGTTATGGAAGGATGACAAGGGAGAAATGCTAGTCAATCTACCAATGTTTGATATGAAAAGTGTTGGAGTACTATAGAAAATGAAACAAAAAACTACATTTGATTTAAGGGCACATTGTACAAAGTGTTAGCGATAAAGATAATTATGGAGTGAAATGGAGGATAACTATACAAATTAGACAACACACAAAAATTTATCAAAATACATCCAGCTTTCCTACATTCAAAGTTTTTATGTTGAATGGAAGGAAGCCAGATGTAGTTTGACAAATTTTTCTCTGTTGACAAATTCAATGGAGAAAAATTTGTCAGATAGAGAAATTGACAAATTCAAGAAACTCAATTTAAACAGTTTGATATTAAAACTGTTCCAGAAATTAATTTCAAAATTTACAGTTTTAATTAAAAGATTGATTTAACAATTTTATTTCCACTCACAATATAAATTACACCTGCTTGTGTATAAATTAGTGTATGACAAAATTAAAGATAGGTTCACTTATTTGGGGAGACTGATAAACAATTATATGTAACATTAAGAGAATCTAATGTATCAGTGAGGTTAAAATGCAATAGTTCAATAGTTCTGCCATTTACTTGTACACGCAGCAATTGTAATATTGACCAACATACACATTAAGAATTATAAAAATATAAAAATGTGTTTAGATCACTTATTGAAGCTTTATGTATTAAAAAAAAAATGGATTTAATTATATATATATATAATATAAAGTGCACCATCTGGGTTGCTGTTGTTTTTTGTATTTGTCATGTCTGTCATTGTTTTGTCACATTAACCTTTGATTTTTGAGTTCAGAATTATTTCTGATAACTTATACAATATTATATATTTCTCTAATAACTCATTTAAAATTTTACTGCAGAATGTCAGATCGATAAATAATAAGCTTTTAACTTTGCCAAGTATTCTTAATGATTTTGATTTTTAAATCTTTGTTGAAAGCTGGATATCTCATGAGTCATTTGACATTACCAATTTTATTAACCAAATGGGTTTTCAATGTTTTCCCCTTGCCCATCAAAATCAAAGAGGTGGTGGCATATTATTAATATTCCCTACATCATTTCATGTAATTAAAATCTTTGAATATTGGGACTCCATTCTAGACGTTAACATTCCAGATCTCCAATTTATCATCATTATGATTGATACTCCTCATCTAAAAGAAAGAGTATTTTTCAAACTTTAC